CAGGACTCGAACCACGAACATTCGGTTGTCGGGACTTCAAATTCTTACCCTTGAGCTACATGGTCGACGGTCATCACCTTGTGCCAATGGCACTGCTGACGTGTCCCACAAAACAGGACGAAACAGTTGTCCAGTGATCTTTGTCGGTTATCACAAGCATTTCCATCATATTTGAATGCCTTTAACTCCTGTGAAATCAACGAACTCCCAAGGAGTAAAACCCACGCCCAAGATCATCAACAGTACCTGGTGCCTGTGAAAAACCGAATGGGCTAATCCAAGCACTCAACGTGTAAAGAATGACAAAGTTCAGTTGCACGTGAAGATTTTCGCACTCCATTATAATCATCTGACGATAGATAATGATTCATTTTGGGATTCCGATTACGGATGACTCATCAACGGAAGATCATTGGCTTCGAACACACAATTCAATCAGCTTGCGCGTTCCTGCTCTCATACTTCTCCTAGTGATTGGGTCGTAGCAAATCCGATTGGTTCTAAGTTCTTGCTTTCTATTGGCTATCAGTAAACGCTGAACAAGTTATTCGTTGGTGTTTTATACGGATGCACTGGAATTTCAAAGAATTGCATCAATTGGACAAAATTAACCCCTAAATTTGCATACAACTTTTATGATCCTACCTCATAGAATCTTACCGGGCCGCATTATGTGCGATTCCACTGGTTCAGACAATTTATCCACATGACAATCTATTGATTTCGTTGACTGAATAACTTTTTTTGTCTTCCCGGGTTTGTTTCGAGCAAATGGCAGCTTGTTTCGGACTGGGACTGGGACGTTTGAGCTCCTNCTTAAGAACATTGATTATAAAGTAATGCAACCGACCCGAGGTCCTATTTTTTTCTTCAGTAAATCTTATCCAAACACTACTCACGCAGGTGGGTAGAAGTGATCGCATTTTAAGTAAATTCCTTCTTCTACATTTATAACTCTGTTAAATGAAAAATAGGGTTCCGATGAATGGAAGCTGATGACCAAGAGCATGCCTTCTGTTATGACTGTACACCTCTGATTTATGAAGAATGCAGGTCACTGAACTGGAACGAACTGACTGACTGTAATCGTGTCAACACGATTTCCAGGGTCAACGGGTGAAATACGGATCGATAATCATTGCGCCTGTCAATACGGCTGAGGTCGATGGCGAAATCGACCAGTCACGTGACATCCGATTCGAGTGAGCTGCGGTATGATTTGAGCTCTCATCACACACCTTCCATTGTAGCATATTTCTGAAGGGTGG